CAGGATCTTATTTCTGCCTCCTGTGACAGGCAGTGCAGAGTGTTACAGGAGGAGGAGGAGGAGGAGGAGGAGGAGGAGGAGGAGGAGGAGAGACAAATAATAATATACTTGTTATTACACAGAGTTGTAGACTATCTAGAAATTACATGGAGTCGGTTCAAAGAAAATAGTCTATTAACATCTTGATAAAGCATATCAAATGACAAATACAAACTTTGGAAAATAGCAAAATAGCAAAAAACCCTTATACAGAAAAAAAAGAGAACATTGCAAAGGGGAGGCAAGGAGTCTTGATAATGCACATGAGTGTCTGTGTGGGCAAAACCACACATCTGGGAGTTGCCACTCAAAAAACTAAAGCCTAAATATGGTACAAGTGTAGTCCGCAGAGCACCTAGGGATCAACACAGGGCTAGAACTGCAATTTCATCTATAATTTTGTGCTATTCCATTTCTCAAAGTTAATGCTGCTAATCAGAGCAAACATTTGTACCAATACAAAAATCCAAGATACAGCTTAAATAACAATTGACAAATGAAAATGGTCCCCCACACTTTCTTTATTATTTCCAATGCAAAATAATAGTCCATATGGATTTATTGTAGTTTGTAGTTCATCTTATTACTACGATCAACTATCATCATGGATGATAAATATAAATACTTGTTCTAATTACCAGCATTAATTTTGAAATGTAGCAACAATGCAAATCATACAAAAAATTGCGAAAGAACAGTCATAAAACTTTCGCGAACAACAAATCAGGACCCAATGAGTTAAAGTTTGAGTAAAAATATAATAGGTATGGTTCTTTTTTCATATTATTTATATAGTTATCATTCAAAGTTACTATCTGATGCTATTTCTTCATACATCATATAAAGTGTTATTTCTTGCAAATTCCTTTAGAAAGCATATAAAGTAAATGGAATATCTGAGATCAATTCCCTACATTTCACTACTATGAGTAAAGTAACTCCTAACAAGCTAAATATAATTTTTTTTCTCTACATATACTATGTCTTTAGGAATGCAGTATATGTTCCTAGAGATTTGAACTTATTTAATTATTCTCTGTCTTTACCTTGGTGAAGTCCGTCTCTGCAGTGATCTCCACATTAGTCTGTGATTCTCCTTTCTTGTACTCCAAGGGGCAATCCAGCAGAATAATCCTAGGATTCTCAATGCGCCGTTTCATCTTCTGGTGTGTCACATCTTTGTTCACCATGATTCCATTCAAAACTTGGCAATCTTCAATGGTGCCACCAGGGATCTGTGAACATATACTAGGCATAAGATTCTCTACAGAGTATAAACATATGCAAAAATCATGAATCAGATAACCACTGCTTGGTAGTAAAACAAAGAGAAAGTGAGAAACAAGTAGAAAAGCAAATTAATAAAATAAAATACATTCCTGAACTAAAACATCTAATTTTCAAAAACAATGGCATTACCAACCCTACCTTCTCAATCCTTGCCCATTTCTTGACATCAATTTCCTTCTGACCATCCTGTTCAGTTGTGATGGTTTTGACAGCACGCAGGGCAATGGAACAGGCCAGATCAGCATACTGACCCATAAATTTGGTGCCAATACAAGACTTGATAACATCAATCATCTGTTCCTCACTGTTAATATCTACAGGTACACTGCAAAAAATAAAACACATGAAGATAATGTGAAGAAAAGAAAAGAAATCAAATCTCTCAAAATAAAAAATACCCCCAAAATAATCAACGAAGACAACAGAAATGCCAGAATTGCAAAAATTTTTGCCAATAATTCTTACCTAAGTTGTTCCCTGAGAATATTAATGGAATCTTCAAGAGCTTGTCTGTAGGCCTGAATGATCACCACAGGGTGCATTTTGTGCTCGAGGAACTGTTCAGCCACAGCCAACATTTCTCCAGCCAAGATAACCACACTTGTTGTACCGTCACCAACCTTTCCAAGAAACATTAACATGTTAACTATATATTGACAGAATTCATTATACCAATTTCTTAGTTCCATGAAAATAATTGTTAGATGATAGAACTACAATCTATAAAATTGCTTACCTCTTCATCTTGTGTTCGTGCAATCTCAATCATGTGTTTGGCTGCAGGATGCTGGACAGTGATCTCACGGAGAATGGCATTTCCGTCGTTAGTCATCACAATGCCGCCCATGGGGTCCATCAACATCTTCAACATGGACCTGGGACCCAGGCATGTGCGAATGACGTCAGCAATCATCTAAGGGTTGAAGAGATTTTTCATGAGCGTGTTCATAATCATTCCTTCAAATCATATATAGATTATGAGTAAACATCAGGAAACACTACAAGCTGATGAAATTACTGAAACACTTTTTGCTGCACTATGCTTTGTTATTTCTAACAATCTTTATTATGTTCCAGAAAGAGACTAACACCCTTCCCCCTACAGTGGCTTTTATAAACTCATGAAAATTATTTATAGAATGGATGAGCCCCTAGGCATCACTGGGAAATAGTGGAGTTATGATTATGAAGTACTGTCCCCTAACACCCAAGAGCAAACATTGTCTTCACCTTCATATACATGGCAAGAGAGAGCTGAAGCTCAGGAGCACTGAATGGACTGAGGCTGTGTGTGACACTTTCTGAGATCTTTTTCCTTTATTTGTGACATTACTGTTCATGACTGCAGGTTGTTCATTGTACTGTTAACTAAAACTTTTTGTCATCTACAAGAGTATCATCTTTAATTTGCCCTAGCTTAGTGTATCCATACTGTAAATTTTAACTAACAAATTTGATGGCTTTTAAGATGAGCAATGGTTCGAGATTCAAATTACCTAGTTCTGAAATTGGGACTCTTCTCTATCTTTTTGCAATTCAAGAAATATGCCTGTTCAGGCACTGTGATAATTAGGTTTAGGAGGGAGGGACTCTATGCAGAAACTTCCAAATATTTTTTGATAGTTTATATCCTTTTGACAAGATAACAAGTTCTGACATAATGCAAATCATGTCTACTGGTATTAGAATTTTCATAAGACATTAGATTCAACATGTATAAAAAAAAGTAAATAAATATTGAATGGGAAACTAAAACCAAAGCTGGACAACATGTATTGCCTGTATTTAAAAAATAAAAAGGGGGCAAGAAGTTGCACCTGTTGGTACAAAAAATAATTGCAGACATGAAAGGCAACACCGCAACCAAAGGGAAAAGATCGCAGAAAGTTCTGCTCACGGCCTTAGTCCACCCGGTACTCTCAATTTCAGCTCTAGCTTACCATGCATACCATGTGGAACCCCCTATCAATCTTCCCCTTCGGCAATGCAAGCCCTGTTGAATAAATTTTGTGATGTGCAACTGGGGACTTTAGTTTCTGGTGAGTGTTTGTACTGTGAAGAATTACCAAAAAAGTTTTTAAAGTTGGCTAATGTAGATAATCCAATCCATACTACAGCAAATTAGCTTGTCTACTTATTTGCTTTCCTGGTAATGGTTCTGAACTAGATGACGCAAAGTGTTACACTAATCTCCGTCCTACCCACTACAACAAAGGCCAACTATCATGATTTATCAAACCAAAGAAGAATTGAGACTATTTCCCTATTTGCTGAGAAATATCTAGACAGACCGTTTGGCAAAATTACAGAGAATGGAGTTTGGACGACCACAGCATGAGGTAGTCACATGGGGTCATTTAATCATTAATATTTATGATATAAAGATAACTGACTCCATGTGAGCGAATTAGCAAAAAATTCGCCCATCAATATACTTACAAAAAATACAAGAAAATTGTGAATGATAGGCATTTTGCAATTATACGCAGAATTACAAACTACAAAGAAATAACTGGAAATAAACCCAATTACACACCCAGAGTTAACACAACTGGAAATAAAACGTATTACACACCCAAAGATAACACAAACAGGCTGCTTTGGTGCTTTTCTACCAACCTATCCCACCTTACAGGCAAAAAAAGCCTCAAAACCAGATAAAAAAAACTTTTCTCGTCACAACCAACGTGAGTCACCCCCTCCACCCCCCAAAATGCACTCTACTTATATCGCGAAAACCATGCACTGAAAATCACACCAACTCACCTCACGTCGAACTTTACCGACAAAACAACAGAGTTTAATTAATAATTCGCGGATACAACTTAAACCTAGCACACAAAGACGAAAATAAATCCCAGCCTCACCTTCCCGGCATTGATGTTCTGCACTTGCACCTTCCGCCCGCTCTCGCGCTTCGTGTTCTGGTCTGAAATACGGGCGTTTCGTTAGTAATTCGGCCTATTTTAGTAACCAAGCATCATCACCATTAACTAATCTCTCACCGAACTTACTCAGAACGATGATAGGTTGGCCTCCGCCCATCATTTTGGAGGAAATAGAGAGGAAAGCGACGACGAGATTCTGAACCACAACACGCGGGAGGGACGGCCTGACTCACGCGACTTTTGTCTTCATTTACGACGACGCCCTTCCGAGGCTGAGATCAAGGGCTAAAAAGGCGTTTTCGATTTTTTTCTCTTGAATTTTGTGATTTGCGGCATTTCTTGGGCTGGATTTTAGATTATAGGTTTTCGATCTGGGGCCTGCCGATCGACGGGTGGAATCCTCTGGAAGCTTCTAGAATTTTATGCAAATAGAGCGTAGGGTTTGAGAATGAATTCGTTGTTGGGTTATATGTTTTAGAATTTGTTAGTTGAGAAAATATGAGGTTGTTGGTGATACATTTTTTTTATCTTCTATGCATTCCTATTATATGTATATTGTAGACGAAGTCAAAGCCAGGAGATCTTAGTTTCGAGACAGAAATGAGAGGGATAAAGAGTATAACAAAGGGTGTGCAACTTTTGTTCATCATAGATAGTTAAAAGAAACATATGCATACCATTAATAAATAAGAATATCTTCGATAGTAAAATCTGAGGAAATTAGAAGAAAATAGGAATTTCTCTTCGATTTTATACCTGTCATCCCTCTCCTCGAAGCGTCGGTCGTAAACAAACAAGAGAAAGAAAGAGAAAAAGGAGACTGACAAACCCTTCAAAGTGGTAAATTAAGAGAAATTAAGGGAAGGAGAGAAGGAGACGGAACACGACAGAGAAGGAGAAGTGGAGGAGGTCGAGAAAAACACCCAAAATTAACAACCACAATGTCGGTACAGATAGAAAAGCGGCGATATGACTGCGCCGCGCTTCCCAAGGGCTGGAAGAGGGAGGAGGTACTGAGGAAGACGGGATTAACTTCGGGGAAAGTCGATGTTTATTACTACAGGTTAGTTTATGATCAACTGTTCTTTTCTTTACTTGTGCTAGTACTTACATCTTGTTCATTGGTGTGAGAGGTAACCATGGGGAAAGACGATGCTAATTATTATAGGCTGGTACGGATTAGTTATGATTTTGTAGTTAATTTTCTTCTTCAAGTTAAATGTATTGGTGCTAGATTTTATTTAATGATCCTACCCTGACATAAGTCTCGATATTTGAGATGTGCAGGCATTATCTTACCTGTGTAATGTCCATACTGGCCAGAGTGGAATCCATGTATGTTACGCCGGAGATCTCCAGTGTGGACTTGTCCTCTTGACTGGCGCACTGGCGTGAGAATGAGCTGGTTCTCAAGCCTTGACATAATGAATTGCTGATGTTGATGATTTCATTGATGTCTTGCAATTACCATTTTGTGTTTTTTTCTGATAAGTTTGATCTTAAAATAACAATGAGACATATTCAATAATCAGAGATTTTCATCAATTAATATGGAAGTGCTCTGCTGATGACTCTCCTAGTGATTAGATGCGTCAATAAAACCTTGGTGTGCAATTTTGTGCAAATTCAAGATTTTTTATATTCTTGGCATAGAGCCCCTTATCATTCTTCAAATCTCCGGCGTACATGTTACATGGATTCCACCCTGACATACTGGAAACCTTTGTATGTGTGGGGGCAAATTGTTTTCAAATGTCCCAACTTGCACAGCTAAATTGTCAGTATGTTTAAAATGCATGATTTGTTATTGCAGGATTATTGGTTTGCATTTTGTAATGTTTGTGATGGGAAACATTATTTATACATTGTGTCTGTGCTATTAACCCAACGGGTGATTTCTCGATATGCAAGCCCTCTCTCTGGGTTGTATTCATTGTGGCCTGGGTCCTGCTGCCTGGGGCTCATGTCGTCACCCTAGCGTGTGCGGCATGACTGTACATACTTTTCCGGGGGTATGTACGGGCACATTTGATATTACAATGTAAGTATTTTAGAGATTGGTCAACAAATCTGCTTCACACAATATCTTAAAACAAAGTAATCAATCTGCAAAAAGTGAGTGTGATCTTACAATTCCTTATCAGAGATCATCTGCAATGACTCACAAACTCGCCATGGCCTCTATACCATCTGTGGAATGGACAACAACTACCTAGCATATAGGTTCAGGCAAGATAGAATCTGTAGAAGATCCTGGTAATTTGCTATCATATAAGAACTAGTCCAAGTTCAATCTTACCCTGTTGAAATTTGTTGGCCACACTGGACTACATGCAGGGTGCAGCGTGCAGTCAGCCACTCAAGGAAAAAATTAGAAGCATGGGAAATAATTCTGGCTGCAGTATATGCAATTTTCTAGCGAATGAGGCTAAAAAGTTGTCACACTTAACACGATGCATCAGTAACTGATGGAAACATGTTTTATAAATTCAAGAAAGATTATTATTAGGATTTTCATTGATGATGGTAAGTTTCTCTTCTCTTTATTTTTTGCTTCCTGTGTTTTAGCAGAAGTCTTGATTAATATTATGATTAACATGGTAGCCTCAGCTTTAGTCACTGTCTTATTGTATATCTAAGGTCAGTCCAGATTTGCAAACACATGGGAATAGTTGACATGTGATAGTATCGGTTAGAACAAATGTTTGCTGAGGAACCGTCAAGGTCCGTTTACTAAGATTTTGTGTTACCTAAAGTATTACTTTACCCTGATGTTAATGGGCCATGCCTATCATTATCATGATAAACCACTTGGTCTGCGGGGTATGGCTGTGTCTGCTCGTTGCCACAAATTTGAAGAGTTTTAAAATTTTCATATATTTTTTTTCAACCATTAGTATGGGGTTTAGTAAAGATCCAGTAATTATTCCATATCTCCAGATTTGTGATGATGAGGTTACAACCATTTATTCATTTGTTTATTTGTTTTTTCATCTTTCAGTCCAAATGGAAAAAAGTTCAGAAGCAAGCCTCAGCTGGCCAGATATCTTGGAGACACAGTGGACTTGTCGTCATTTGACTTTCGGACGGGAAAAGTCAACCCCATGTTGGTAAGGAAGAATAAAAAGCCAAGAGGAACTCTGTTTGACTACAGGTAAGTTGATGATTTCTCTATATAACTGTTTTGTTGTCATAAGTTGTTGATATTTTCTTTTTGTAGTTATATCTGGAAAAAAAAGTTATTTATGCTAAATTTTATTTCTCTTTGAAGCATTAACATCCTGAAGTATGCTGATTTATTTTCTTCTCATTTCATCTTACAGAAGATTGTAAAATTGTAAAAGATGTAGTATTACACAGTAAATTTTATATGTGAATATTGAAATGTGTCAACAGCTCTTGTGATATCTTGTCATATATGTATACAGTGTGTTAAAATTTCCTTTGTTTTCTATATAGGTGATGTAAGTAAATACTACATATGTATTTTACCCATAATTGAAATGGTTTCTCTAATAGTCGTGGAATGCGGAATGATGCATCACTGGTACCACCCATCCGCCAAACAGCTTCGATATTCAAGCAGCCTGTAACTGTAATTAAAACACAGCCATCAAGTAGAGTGAAGCTTGATATGAAACATGGTATACAGGATAAGCCAAAACAGGTAACGCTTTTACAGTTAAGAAACAAACGAAATCAAATAAAAAAAATGATACTGTAGATAGGGCTAGGAAACATGAAAGGTACCATTTTGAAACTTGGCACAGAGTTTTAAAAGGGAAATACAAAATGACGAAGTTGCATACTTATTTCAGGGACTTATTATAGGAAGAGGATTTCACAGAGTTCAGCATGCAGCCTTTTGTAGCTACACACTTTGATAGACACAGGCAACAATAGTATTATATAGAGAAGGGATGGAATTAGGTCATAATATAGGTATATGCTAGCATTCACACATGCTCATGTACCCATCCTCTCCTGCTCCCACTTTCACTCCTACTCTTATTTCTACCACTCTTACTCCTACTCCTACTCCTACTCCTACTCCTACTCCTACTCCTACTCCTGCTTCTATTCCTACCAGTGCTGTGCTGTGTGGTGCAGTGGTAGCGATCTCGTCTAGCAATCTTGCTGACCTGTGTTCAAATCCATCGCCACCAGTGGATGGTAACCCCGGCCATTCCTTGCATGCAGGGGATAACTTAGAAGCAAAGTAAAACAGACACTATGTCACACCAAGAATATCCATTGTAACAAATGGAATCAAATTAAATTAAAACCACTCTTTCTCCTACTCTTATTCTTTCCACTCTTACTCCTACTCGTACACTTATTACTCCTATTCCTACTACTCTTACTTCCACTCCTACTCCTATTCCTATTCCTACTCTAACTACTGTTACTCCCACTCCCCACTCCCCACTCCCCACTCCCCACTCCCCACTCCCCACTCCCCACTCCCACTCTGATATCACTTTACAGTCTGGGCCTGGAAAGATGGAGAGATGGCCATGGGGCTGGGGGAGAGGAGATAGGCAGTGTCCATGCCTGTCCAAACAATCATTTCCATTCCTCGTCTTGTACATATTCACTTTCACACTCCTCACACTCACATTTCCACACCTATACACCTACAGAGGGGTACCTGCTCATGGTGCTGCCACCTTTAACAAGTCTCAAAACATATGCCAAAGCACAAGTACTTATCTTCTTGACTTGGGCTGTTCCTCCTCTTACTTTTTTTTTGACTTTCTTGGCTTTTGAATAAAAGAACTTCTGAATTCGTCTTTTTAAGTCCTAGTTAACAACATAAGATACAGAATCCATGAATATGTTTTCATTCACAAACAAGCAATAAAGATGTTTTTGTTATATCCCTTCCTCTTTTTCCTGGTGGCTATAGCGCTCTTACAGAAGGATTTCCTATAGTATAGAAGTATCATGTCTACATGCATTACTATATGAAGGAGGTCAACATTCAAAACTATGAGTATGTCATACTTTCAAAACTCTTATCTTAAGTAATGGTCTCCTCTGTAATGAAAGATTATACCTTCAGTTGTGTTTTCATCTTTAAAAGAGTTTAAATGTCTTAATGCAATGTATATGTATTTTAGTTTGAGATTAAATCTGCTGTGTTTTAATAGTAAACTTTTTCACATTATTTAGTATTAAGTCAAACTGTGTATGAGAGCTACTTTATATATGACTCCAGAAGTGGCACTTGTACAGATTGGAATGTAAGGCATATCTACTTCATATGCCATTTAGATTTGTCATTATAATTTTTTTTATTGTCATACCTACTTCCAATGTTTTATATCTTTGGTATTTATATGGAATGCAACCATTACTTAAGATACGTGGTTGACATTCCTTAAAATCTCTTTCTGAACTAAGCATTCTTCTAATGTAGCAGTTATTTTAATCATGCTGCCAGGAGTTGCTATGTTTATAGTTTGTTTTGTTAGCTTAGGGTTACTTTTTCCTTGGCCTCTGCAATAGGACTTTTACTGAAATGGGTGTATGCTTGTCTTATACCCTTGTGTCTCAGACCTTTGGAACACATAATATGCTGTATGAGACTTGGTAAAGGGTGTACAGAAACATGGCAGCTTTATGTCCCAGCTGTCCTTGGTGTTGTGGTGGTGTCATTGATGCAACAGGGAGGCCTGTCTGTGAATGAGTAGGGTAGGAGCACCCAAGTTTTTATTCCCCTACTTGGGAGCAATTTATTGTTGTAAACCAAGCAAGAGAATTCTTGCAATCTTCAAATTGGGTAAGCAGCCTCGCTGTGTTTCTTACCATTATCGGTTGAGCTGATGTCTATGCTGGCAGCTTTTTCTGTTTTGATTTTATCCTCAAGCTTAAAGCTAACATTTTAATCCCTTGATTGCTGTGACTTAATCATCCATTCTTTTTCTTGTTTTGCCATGCTTGTTTACCATGGGGTTCCTTTGAGTAATTGAGTGTTGTTTACTGTACATTATTCCATTCTCCCTTCTCAGAGAGTCTAAAGTCTGGGGATGTCTCAAATGACTCATAAAGGTGCCAAATCTTTTTGAATCTTTGGAGAGGTCACTAGCATAAGAAAACCATTCCTTTAGATAAGGCTTTGTTGTAGCACCAGGCTTATGCTGCTTTATCTGTGTTAATTGTATTAGTGGTGTTATAAAGAACCTGAATGGTTGTTGACCCCACTGATGGCATATATGTTGTCATGGTTATTGTATTATTATTATATTTTCAATGTTATTTACTCTTTTAAGTATTTTGTTTTAATTGGTAGATATTATTTGTTATTCTCTGTATCCAAGACTGCTAATGTATGTGTGTGTGTGTGTGTGTGTGTGTGTGTGTGTGTGTGTGTGTGTGTGTGTGTGTGTGTGTGTGTGTGTGTGTGTGTGTGTGTGTGTGTGTGTGTGTGTGTGTGTGTGTGTGTTTCTGTCTGTCTGTCTGTCTGTCTGTCCTTCAACTCATATTTCAGCCTTTTGTGTTTGTGTGTGCTTGTGTTTTTCTTTGTGTGTTTGTTTTTCTCCGTATGTGTATAGATGTGGACGTGACTGTGAATGCATGCTTTGGCATGTATTGTTGCATAACAGTATTTTCCCAGATAATATAATTTCAGAAACCTAATATGGGCTCAGAAGTAATTCTATATGCTCTTGAAGGGAAGATATAATTAAAAAGGGATTGAAAAGTGTTGGAAACATAGGTCTTTTGCCAGTGTCCCTTCTTCCCAAAGTATTTCTTTATAATGAAGGCTGCAGCCTGAAAAAAAAAAAAAATTAACCTGATGTTCTCCTGGCAGCATGGTTAAGTAGGCTGTGTTTTAGATATTGATTAGTAGGTGATGATGAAATTATAAAGTCTGTAATATGATATTATGTTTGTTTGTTTTTTTAGGACACTAGATTTCTCCTCAGGTTTTGATGATGCTGTCTATCCAAATATAGATTGGCTCTTGGAATCTTATCAGGAGTCTAGTGCCTTAAAAAACAAACACAAGTATTAAACCTTTCCTTCATGACAAGGATAATGATTGTCTAAGTTCGGGAAGGAGGGACTTTGGAAAGTAACCTGTTAACTATTGTTGTCAGGACGTGAAAAGATTGACTAATTTCCTTTTGTTTATTTATTATTTTAAAGTTATTCTGGGAAAAGAGGCTCCAGGGCCTCCAGGCCTTTGATGCACAGACAGAAGTCCTCAGGAATGTGGACCTGCCAGCTGCCCTTCAAGGCGTGGGGCCCAATGTGGAGGATCAGACTGTCTTGCAGGTATGGAGGGCATAGCTGGAAGGTAACATTTGATTATTGTTAATGTCTATGATTTTTTTTTTTATGTATGTGCTTAGAATGTTTTGCATTGAATATTCTTTGTGCATTTTATTAGCCCATTACCCCCCGAGATGGCATGTATACACATGGCATAACCATTGTAAATTTAATTTATTAATTGTAGTCACACATAGATGGCTCCACAAGAACTAAGTCACCAAGGAGTCAGTTGCTAGTCGTAACTGTCTGACTATCTGATTTACCATTTTCCTTGATTTTGGAAATATTTAAAATATATTTTAAATTGTTATTATGCTAATCATAATGTCTATAATAATGATAAAAGCATCAGTATCAGTACATTTAGAAAAAAAAATCCCAGAAACTCAAGGAAAGGACAAGTCAGGTCATGTAGATGACTAATTGACTCCATGGTGGCTGAGCACTTGTGGAGCCATCTTTGTGTAAACACATTTCATTAAACAAAATTGCAGTGAACAGTCAATAACAGTAGCATCATCATCATTGGAATATTAAAATAAGAATATAAAGAAAATATTCTTGAGATGTTCTTGGCTACAATTCTTGTATATTGTGGTGTTCCTACTGTAAAGAATGCATGTTCCTGTAGTTAGTTTTATTTTGAACAGGAATATTTACCTATATATATAAAACACTTTAGATAAGTCTTGTTTACCATTTATTTATTTGTCAGCTTGATACTGAAATCTGAATGTCTAAGCCTACAGATTGTACAGTTACCCATTTTAAATCCACCCCATAGTTATGGGTGTACTACTGGGGGAATTTGACACCTCATCTATGCTGGGCAAAATCTGAAAAATAACATTATCATTAGCTGGGTAGCAAAGTTATGTTCATGCCTGAGAAATGACATAGCTTTGGCCAGTACATGAAAATGACAACCAGATATTTTTTGACAACCTCCCATAATCAAAATGCATATTATGGCCATATATGTGTGTGTGTGTGTTTTTAAGGGGAAATATTCAGGGCATGAAAATAATAAGAAAAATATAATCAAGAAAAAGAAATTGCCATATCCTGAAGTGTAGCTGCATGCCAAGGCTTCTCTTGCTTGAGCAGTGCCTCACACTCCCTGGGTTAGAAATCCAATCAGATTTTAAAGAGTAATGCAGTGATATAAATTTATTCATTAAGGTTGTCAGTATGTAGTAAGAAATAACACTTGAAGGATTTGAATGTAAATATAGAAATAGATGGTGGAGGAGTAGATGGTAATTCTGATGTTGGGATGAGTGGTGGTGAAGTTACTGTAATTTTTTTAAAAGGAGTGCAAGTTGGTTATGGGGTTGGCTCAGATATGTTTGTTAAACTTTGCAGAGATAAAAGTTTTAGTTCTTAGTGTTTGGAATGTTTCCTTTCCTACCAGGCAACCTCTTATAAGTAATAAATATAGATGTGGCAGTAATATACTTATTTTCTTGTTTTGATAATAAAGACACTATCACTAAGTGCATGCCAAGTTGACATCTCTTACATATAGATTGCTAAAGTACAGTATTTTACTTTTAAGTGTTTTGTAGGCAGTTGTATTGCATAATTATGATCTTTATTAACATTCTAGTACTTTTGCCATTAAAAGATTTATTGCCATGTCTGTATATATGTATAATTTTTTTGCCTATTTCAGAGTTTAGCAACTGCCTTGCATTTACATCCCGGTCCCATCACAGGTCAGACAGAAGCAAAGCAGAGCCTTGAGAAAAATCCGGGCGTCTTTGTTAACCCAAATCAACCACTTGTTGCAGTGAGTTAGAAATGCAAATTTTCCTCTTTTCAGTTGAAATTGAATAGTTAGTTTTCTATGATAGTTAAACAAAGTAGCAGTTATACAAAGTATCAGTTTTTGGATTCTGTTGAAGGTCTGGAATGAATAATTCAGAGAAAGAAGCTCAATTTGCTAAGAAATTTGTTTTGATTTATACAGGCAGTCACCATCCAGGACGAAGACATAGTCCAGCAAGAGGAAAGGGTAGACCATGCAAGGCAGCAGTTGCAGGAGGCTCTGAAGGGACTAGAGCCGTGAAAAACAACAAGAAAAAGAATGGGATATAAGGAGTAATATCTTGAAAATATAATTGCAAACATTACCTGTAACTACATACATAAATACTATATAAGGTACTTTGTGTGTACGAATATGCAAATTTTTGTTCTTTTTTATTTTTATTTTTTTTATACATGTGAGAGTTGATGTCATAAAATGTTGAAGTTCATCTGCTAAATAGGAAGTAAATGTTTATTAAATAATTTAGTGCCATGCAAAATTATTGGGATAGGTAATAACAGTGTAAGGTTTATAATAGAATAAACCTTCCAATAAACATAAAATGGGATAAGATTTTCTATTTAAAAAGTTTTAACAAAAGAACTAGACCTGATAATCATCAGTAAAGAAGATATGTTCATTGAATTGCATTATCCTTGGCCACATGTTCTATATATATATGTGTGTGTATGTAAGAAAATTATTTTCTTTTATCCATTCGGGTTTGGTAAAGTAGAGTTCAAGAGTGGAATGGAACTAGTGTAGATCTAGGCAAGTATTTTCTCTCATTAGACATTTTCTTTTCTGTTAAAATCTGTCTGTGCTCCTACAAAACAAAAAAGTGAGATATATTTATATATTTAAGGTCTTCATGATTGGCCTATTCATTTGTAAAATAGTTAATAAAAATAATGTCTCTA